TAACCTTGGCTTTGTTTATTGGTGTCAGGAAAACATAGCTCCTAACTCCATGAAAGGGAATTAAAATCTCTGCCTCAGCGTTTCCATGGAAACAAAACAACAACAAAATGGCGCATATCTAGGTTCGTCAATTCACTTCACGGTTCATATTTGAGAGACTGCGTTCCAGCCGTGTGTATTCAATAAATAGTGGAATCAGATCCATTTAGGCTGGAAGCGAAAAGACATGGCGATTTAAAGGACGTATCGGCTAAACGCCTTCTTTCAGCAGACAAGACAAAGAAAAAATAAATGTTAGAAATGTAATCAATGTGTTTGAAGATGTCAGTGAAGTTACCTCAGTTTAGACACGGGAAAAGTGCATGCTCACGTCACAGTTGTTGAAGGGAAGTTTAAAAATTAGTTCATCTAGAACCTTCTGAACAGGTTCGTTTAGTACTAAAAACTCTTGAACCGGTTGGCTTTGTACTAGAACCACCTGGTGAGGTTGGAATGGCACACGAGCCTACTGGTGAGGTTGCAGTTGCACTAGACAGTTTCTGTCACTTGTTTCTGTCATTTCTTTTTGTCATTACCATATGTCCTTCAACGGCGCTAAGATCGCACCAGATGGGTGAACTAATAAACATTGATAGACAAAAACCTTTTGTGGCATTAACTTCCTAACAATCGATATATATAATTCGTCAGAAACTAGGGCAAACAACAAGATGACCACGCAGGCTATATATAGATACGCCAGAGCAGGCTCGCGGCGTCTGCTAAGCCGCGGGTCGGCTATATTTAAGCGCTTAGAGCTTTAAGGTAAGCGCTATATAAAAATGCCTAAATAAAGTTCACGACATATGCGCACTTCGTTGGAGCTACCGCCCCCCCCCCCTCCTGCACCACCCTCGCTTTCCAGCCAAGCTCGCGGCGTCTGCTAACCTGCGAGTCGGCGTCAAATTAAAGTGTGCCGTGACTTATCATGAAAAAATTGGGGGGAAGGGTGTAGCAACATTGGCATTCTTAAATGTGCATAACTTGAGTTCACGTTTTTGTCAAGTAACTTTAGCAGGTGGGAAGTTAACGCATTGCTGTCGCCAATGTTTGGCGGGCTACATCGAATGAAATCTAATTCATCATTACCGTAACACCTATGAGAACTAATTCAGCGCTTCGATCGATGATGGACATTAAATCTGGGCATCGCAATCCCCATTACGATTTTATGATTGTATGATTGCATGATTGTAATGTGGATGTTTCTTCTTTGTTCCAGGCATGGCGTTTTCCGCCAACGACATGGTCCGGCTGAGAAATGACCTGTTGGGGAACTACAGCGTTGGTGTGCTGCCGCTGAAGAATCAAAGCAAGTCACTGCCGGTCAACATGTCCTTCTTTCTCATCATGATACACAACCTGGTAGGGAATTTTAGTCATGATACACAACCTGGTAGGACATTTTAATCATGATACACAACATGGTAGGACATCATGATACACAACCTGGTAGGCCCTTTTAGTCATGATACACAACCTGGTAGGACATTTCTTATCACGATACACAACCTGGTAGGACATTTTAGTCATGATACACAACATGGTAGGACATTTTAATCATGATACACAACCTGGTAGGCCATTTCTATAGTGTTACATAACCTAGTAGGCCATTTTAATCCACCACAAGATATCAAAGTACAGAAACATGATTAGTTCTGATCTTGATGCAAGTTTATATTAACATGGCATTATCTCACATTGATCTTTCATTTAAAAGACGTTGACCTCAAACAACCTAGGACTGACATGAGCTCACAATTCTACTGACATGATGTCAGATGTTCTATTGACATGACCTCATAATTCTAATGATATGACCTCATAATTCTACTGACATGACCTCATAATTCTACTGACATGATGTCAGATGTTCTACTGACATAACTTCATAATTCTACTGACATGACTTCATAATTCTACTGACATGACCTCATAATTCTACTGACATGATGTCAGATGTTCTACTGACATAACTTCATAATTCTACTGACATGACTTCATAATTCTACTGACGTGACCTCATAAATCTCTTGACAGTATGTCAGATGTTTTACTGACATGACCTCATAATTCTGCTGACAGGCCGTTAGATGTTCTACTGGCATAGAGCCAGATTTTCTACTGACATGACGTCATGTGGACTTAGCAGTTAGACTAAACAAGAACACATATATCACATTCCCTCATTGACTTTCACGTCCCACAACCACTTATCGACTAATGCCGCCTTGTCCAATGCCCTTGGGGCGCACCGTGTTTCCTTCATGAGTACAAAGTACAGCCAGTCATCATTTCAAATGAACATAAAAACTAACCTCACGGGAACAATGGAGAGAGATTTGACGATAAATTAATGGAGTTTTGAACTGTCTTTACGTGAAAGGTCTTCTCATGAACTGCCTTCTCTCGAACTGTCTTCTCATGAACGGTCTTCTCATGAACTGTCTTCTCATGAACTGCCTTCTCTCGAACTGTCTTCTCATGAACGGTCTTCTCATGAACTGCCTTCTCTCGAACTGTCTTCTCATGAACGGTCTTCTCATGAACTGTCTTCTCTCGAACTGTCTTCTCATGAACGATCTTCTCATGAACTGTCTTCTCATGAACGGTCTTCTCATGAACTGCTTTCTCTCGAACTGTCTTCTCATGAACGATCTTCTCATGAACGGTCCTCTCTCGAACTGTCTTCTCATGAACTGTCTTCTCATGGACGGTCTTCTCTCGAACTGTCTTCTCATGAACTGTCTTCTCATGAACGATCTTCTCTCGAACTGTCTTCCCCTGGACTGTCTTCTGCCCTGTATTCTCGTAAACTGACCTCAAGAACTAACTTAACCTGATGTGTTTATTTGTGTGTCTATTGCGTGTGTTTATTAAAATTGTTGTTTTTTAAAATGTATTTCAGAACATGAAGAATCAAGTGTTGACTGCCAGTGGTTGGTTGAAATTTGTGAGTAGACTGTCTCCAAAAGGGGTGGGGGGGGGGGGGGGGGGAGGGTCATGACGTATGTAACATATCAATTCAGTCCCTTTATTTTCTTCGTGTTATGAAGATTTATCCCGCATTTGGGGACTGCAGCTGGAATGAACAATCCTCCATTTTTTTATCATGAGAGACACTCATCCCCAACCCCCTACCCACACACCAACACAGAAACATTTCCTTTTTTAAAAAAAAATTCATATGAACATTTCACTGTGAAGCCCAAGAGTCTGAGCAATCCATGTTTCTATCAAACTACTCAAGCAGCCCTTCCCCCCCCTACCCCCCCCCCAAACCAGATTACCAGTACTTAACTAAAGATAAAAAGACATGTAAGGATTCCAGTACTGAACTAAACATAAAGGACATGTAAAGGTAGTAGTACTTATTTTCTATCAAACTACTCAAGCAGCCCTTCCCACCCCTACCCCCCCCCCAAACCAGATTACCAGTACTTAACTAAAGATAAAAAGACATGTAAGGATTCCAGTACTGAACTAAACATAAAGGACATGTAAAGGTAGTAGTACTTAACCAAACATATAGGTCATGTAAGTTAGCAGTACTTAACATATAGGGCATGTCAAGGTAGCCGTACTGGACTAAACAAATAGGACATGTAAAGGTAGCGCTACTAAACAAAACATATAGGGCATGTCTAGGTAGCAGTACTTAACTAAACATATATGGAATGTAAAGGTAGCAGTACTTAACTAAACATATATGGCATGTAAAGGTAGCAGTACTTAACTAAACATATAAGGAATGTAAGGGTAGCAGTACTTAACTAAACATATATGGCATGTAAAGGTAGCAGTACTTAACTAAACATATATGGAATGTAAAGGTAGCAGTGCTTAACTAAACATATAAGGAATGTAAAGGTAGCTGTGCTTAACTAAACATATATGGAATGTAAAGGTAGCAGTACTTAACTAAACATATATGGCATGTAAAGGTAGCAGTGCTTAACTAAACATATATGGAATGTAAAGGTAGCAGTACTTAACTAAACATATATGGAATGTAAAGGTAGCAGTGCTTAACTAAACATAAAAGGAATGTAAAGGTAGCTGTGCTTATCTAAACATATATGGAATGTAAAGGTAGCAGTACTTAACTAAACATATATGGCATGTAAAGGTAGCAGTACTTAACTAAACATATATGGAATGTAAAGGTAGCAGTGCTTAACTAAACATATAAGGAATGTAAGGGTAGCAGTGCTTCACTAAACATATAAGGAATGTAAGGGTAGCAGTACTTAACTAAACATATATGGCATGTAAAGGTAGCAGTACTTAACTAAACATATATGGCATGTAAAGGTAGAACCGACATATCAGTAGAACGCACATACACTCAGGCAAACCAACAAAGGTAACCACCCACCTTGGCCACCAACCCACCAAAGTCAACCACCAATGTCACCCACTGAAGCCACCCAACCACATCTGCCACACACCCACGGTAGCCACCAACCCAACTCAGAAAGCCACCAAACTCAGCAATCTGCACCTTTCTGTCATAACCCACCCTCCCAACTCGGTCACTCTCCTACCACCTCGGTCACCCCCCTCCTACCTCGGTCACATACGCACACGTCAGCCACAAGTCCACGCCCCCCCCCCATCACCACCACTAAAGCCACCCTCTTGCTATTATGCCTATTATTACTCACCTGGTTTGAAAGCAACTTTTTGAAAGGTAACAAAAAAAAGATTATTAAGTACAATAAGACACTTAAGCCTTTAAGCCTCGTTAAAGCTTGGTTACGCACACGTCAGCCACAAGTCCACCCCCCCCCCCCATCACCACCACTAAAGCCACCCTCTTGCTATTATGCCTATTATTACTCACCTGGTTTGAAAGCAACTTTTTGAAAGGTAACAAAAAAAAGATTATTCAGTACAATAAGACACTTAAGCCTTTAAGCCTCGTTAAAGCTTGGTCTTTGTACTCTCGTGTGTAACAGGAATGGCGTGACGAATTCCTGCAGTGGAGTCCGGACCAATATGGCGGTATTGACGAACTCATCCTGTTCCAAAAGGACGTCTGGCTGCCAGATATTTTCGTGGAGAACACGTGAGCGATTCTTTGTTATCTGTAGACACAAAATTGTCCCTCTTAATTTGTCCTGCAATAATAGTGCTGTACACATACACACGCGAACATTGTCCCAGGGCACCTCTGTTTACAGGCTTATTTGTTTGCTCGCATATTGTTATGACGCAAAGCTTTTGTACAAGGGTCCGGTTCAGGTACAGGCATAGACAGGGTCTGTCTCAGGTGCAGGGATTGACAGCGTCTGTCACAGGTGCAGGGATTGACAGGGTCTGTCTCAGGTGCAGGGATTGACAGGGTCTGTCTCAGGTGCAGGCATAGACAGGATCTGTCTCAGGTGCAGGGATTGACAGGGTCTGTCTCAGGTGCAGGGATAGACAGGGTCTGTCTCAGGTGCAGGCATAGACAGGGCTGCGTCAGGGACAGACATAGAAAAGGTCTGCCTCAGGTACAGGCATATACAGGGTCTGCCTCAGGTACATGCATAGGCAGGGTCTGCTTCGGTTTCTGCCTCAGGTACAGGCAAAGACAGGACCAGCCTCGGGTACAGACATAGGCAGGGTCTACTATTTCAAACACATATGGTGTTCTACTATTTCCTTCACATATCTTGTTTCACTATTTCCTATACATCGGTTGTTCCACTATTTCCCTATGCATATATGTTTGTACTATTTCGTTCATTGAGTATCCTGGCAACAAATAGCGTCATTTCTTGCTAATCAGTTTGTATAATAATTATAACACCTTTGCTTACGAGGAATTTCTCAAGCATGACATTTTTTTAACATTATTTATATGTATATTTTGGATAAAATGAGGCTTCCTTCAAATGCTTTAACAATTAGAGAGTGCGGGAAATGTATGTGTGTGTGTGTGTGTGTGTGTGTGTATGTGGGGGTGGGGGTTGATTTGAAACTGGAAGAAATAAGATCGTTGTCACAAAAAGAAGTTGAGATTGTGACGCCATCATATCACATTTTATTTTTGTCATGTTCATTATCACCGGTTTCGATTTAATTCGATTTTTAAACTCATTGTTTTAAATGTGATTTCATGAACTTGTTCCATAAAAACAAGTTTTAATTCAATTAATTGTCTGAAGAACCACTGGTATTTTGGATAGAACAAGGACAGATTATATAATCTTTCAGACAGTCAATGTCCAGTGTGTTTCGACAATGCATTCCTTGTCTTGTCCGATGCAACAAAATGTATCTTAACAAACCCAAGCTTTCTATAAGTAGAGTTTAAAAACGACTGACTTTCTATAGTAGAAGTGAATGTAAAACTACCGACTGTCTATAGTAGAAGTGAATTTAACAACTACTGACTTTCTAGAGTATATTAAATTTTGCGTTAAAAAGTGAGAGAAGAGAGGTTTGGTGGTTCACAGTTTGGGAACCCACTGCCGGGAACCCACTGCCGGAAAACCACTACCGGGAACCCACTGCCAGGTACACACTGCTGGGAACCCACTGCCAGGGACCCACTGCCTTAGCCTAATGATGCTATTTGTAAGGCTGTTGATGTAGCTGATGTTCCAAATAAATTGTCCATTCTAAAGTTGAACCCAGAGGATGAGCCATTCAGGCACGGCGTCGAGCGTCTTAGTTAAGTCGGCGAGGAATCGATTACTTCAACTAAAAACATCCACGAATACAATCTAGTGCTGATTTTAGCGTTAGATTCGGAGCAAGATTCTATGATATCGATACTGATATTTGTTGTTGTGACATAATCTTCTCTTAACAAGCGTGTTTTTTTTTAAATAAAAGGAGTTGAGTCAGTCAGACACCTTCAGATGTTAGGATGAGTCAGTAAGACACCTTTAGATGTTAGGATAAGTCATTCAGACACCTTTAGATGGTAGGATCAGTCAGTCAGACACCTTTAGATGTTAGGATAAGTCAGTCAGACACCTTTAGATGTTAGGATGAGTCAGTCAGACACCTTTAGATGTTAGGATAAGTCAGTCAGACACATTTAGATGTTAGGATGAGTCACTCAGACAGCATTAGATGTTAGGATAAGTCAGTCAGACACCTTTAGATGTTAGGATGAGTCAGTCAGACACCTTTAGATGTTAGGATGAGTCAGTCAGACAAATTTAGATGTTAGGATGAGTCAGTCAGGCACCTTTAGATGTTAGGATGAGTCAGTCAGACACCTTTAGATGTTAGGATGAGTCACTCAGACACCTTTAGATGTTAGGATGAGTCAGTCAGACACATTTAGATGTTAGGATGAGTCAGTCAGACAGCATTAGATGTTCCATCATCATGTTATTAAATAATGAATAATGATATCTTAAGGTCCACCATCATTTTACCCATTCGTTCGCCAACATAGGCCCCATTGACATCATAGTCTTTATTGGCCGCCATCATAGTACCTATTGTTCCGCTATCATAGTGCCTATTGGCCCACCATCATAGTACCTATTGGCCCACCATCATCGTACCTATTGCCCCGCCATCATAGTACCTATTGTTCCGCTATCATAGTGCCTATTGGCCCACCATCATAGTACCTATTGGCCCGCCATCATAGTACCTATTGGCCCGCCATCATAGTACCTATTGTTCCGCTATCATAGTGCCTATTGCCCCGCCATCATAGTACCTATTGGACCGCCATCATAGTACCTATTGCCCCGCCATCATAGTACCTATTGGACCGCCATCATAGTACCTATTGGACCGCCATCATAGTACCTATTGGCCCACCATCATAGTACCTATTGTTCCGCTATCATAGTGCCTATTGGCCCACCATCATAGTACCTATTGGCCCACCATCATAGTACCTATTGGCCCGCCATCTTAGTACCTATTGTTCCGCCATCATAGTGCCTATTGCCCCGCTATCATAGTACCTATTGGACCGCCATCATAGTACCTATTGGACCGCCATCATAGTACCTATTGGACCGCCATCATAGTACCTATTGGCCCACCATTATAGTACATATTGTTCCGCTATCATAGTGCCTATTGGCCCACCATCATAGTACCTATTGGCCCACCATCATAGTACCTATTGCCCCGCCATCATAGTACCTATTGGACCGCCATCATAGTACCTATTGCCCCGCCATCATAGTACCTATTGGTCCGCCATCATAGTACCTATTGGCCTGCCATCATAGTGCCTATTGGCCCGCCATCATAGTACCTATTGGTCCGCCATCATAGTGCCTATTGGCCCGCCATCATAGTACCTATTTAGTCCGAAATCATGTTATCAATTGGTGCGCTGTCATGTTATCTATTGGTTATCCACCATTAGTATCTACCATCGTTATGTAAGAAAGGTTCTCACAATGTTGATAGCTAAAGAATAACATTTTAACATAAAATAATGTGAAGGAAAGATGTACAAGTGAAGTTATCATACAACAGAGACGTGAAGAGATAACACAACAGAGAAGCGCAGAGATAATATAACTGATAAATGGAGAATAACATAACAGAGACTGGAGAGATAACACAACAGATACGTGGAGAGATAACGCAACAGAGAAGTGCAGACATAATACAAAATAGAAGTAAAAGAAATAACACAAAAGAGAAGTGGAGAGATAACACAATAGAAACGTGAAGTTACTACACAAAAGAGAGATGAAGAGATTACTCAAAAGAGAAGTGAAGAGATTACACAAAAGAGAAGGGAAGTTATAACACGCCAGAAAAGTGAAGAGATTACAAGACAGAGAAGTGAAGAGATTACACGACAGAGAAGTGAAGAGATTACACGACATAGAAGTGAAAAGATTACACGACAGAGAAGTGAAGAGATTACACGATATAGAAGTGAAGAGATTACACGACATAGAAGTGAAGAGATTACACGACAGAGAAGTGAAGAGATTACACGACATAGAAGTGAAGAGATTACACGACATAGAAGTGAAGAGATTACACGACAGAGATGAAGAAATGACACAACAGAGGAGTGAAGCGATTACACCACTGTGAATCTTGGAGAAAGCTGGTCCCGGCTCAGCGTTGCCTGACGTAAGGAAACTAATTAAAAACAGGGAGACATTCATGCGTCTATAATTGACTCGACTGGCCACTCACTGACCACCAGGCTAGTTGTTGGATTTCGATGTTACGATGTGAGGGGGATACTAGGCATTCCATCGGACGGGTTTAATGTGTGAAAGATACACTAACCTTTAGGTTGCCCCTTTGTGGGGACTAGGTGGGTGTGCTGCCCAATGTCGAGTTTGCACTTGGCATGTTGCCCAATGTCGAGTTTGCACTTGCCATTTTGCCCAATGTTGGAGTTTAAATTGACATCTTGTAGATCAGTGGTTCTCAATCTTCATAACGCCACGACCCTTTAGTACAGTTCCTCGTGGTTTGGTGAACCCAAAACCAATACATCATTTCGTTGCAACTTCATTAATATGTTTTTCAGATGGTCTAAGGCGACCCCTGTGTAAGGGTCGTTCGACCGCTAAAGGGGTCGCGACAAACAGGTTTAGAACCGCTTTTGTGGACAAAGGTTTATCCTAGGGTGTGACTAGTTCTAAAAACAGAGAATTTGCCTGGTCGAGTTAAACACAGAGTAATTCACACAAATGAATAAAAATAAAAAAGAAAGAGGGATTATACTGACAGATGGAACACAAAATGGCAGGATGATTATACTGACAGGTGGAACACAAAATGGCAGGACGATTATACTGAAAGGTCGAACACAAAATGGCAGGATGATTATACTGACAGGTCGAACACAAAATGGCAGGATGATTATACTGACAGATGGAACAAAAAATGGCAGGATGATTATACTGACAGATGGAAGACGAAATAACAGGGGGATTATACTGATAATTGAAAGACAAAATGGCATTTGGACAACACTAAAAGGGGACACCAATGACAGGGGGATAACTAATGACAGGGGGACACCAATGACAGACTGCTCACATGTTGTCACCTGGCCACAAGAATGATAGTTATCAAATTTGATAGTCAATTAAAACATTTATTTCACTATTTTGTAACTTGTCGACTATTTAACCTTGTTCACCTTTGACCCCCTACATCCGCCATTGTTGGGCGTGGAGACAAAACAAGGGTGCATACCCAATTTTTGGGATTGTACACCCGGGATTTGTGTACAACTAAAGGTGTGGACCAATTAATTTGTTCCCCATGCAGCATGTCTGCATATCTTGGAGGTCCACTGACATTTTAGCTATCCTTATGAGAGATTCCTAATATCGTAAGCGACACACGTCAGCAGCTCAGAGGAATTTCGTGGCCACGCCCCTCACCGCCACAACACCTTACCATCAAAACACTTTACCACCTCAACACCAGCCACCCCACAACCGTTTCATCACATCACAGATTCATCAATTCCTTCCCACAGATACATGACATGGAAATCAGCCCCATACCCCGCCGCCTCATTACCCCGCCACCTCATTACCCCGCCGCCTCATTACCCCGCCGCCTCATTACCCCGCCGCCTCATTACCCCGCCGCCTCATTACCCCACCGCCTCATTACCCCGCCGCCTCCTTACCCCGCCGNCTCATTACCCCGCCGCCTCATTACCCCGCCGCCTCATTACCCCGCCGGCTCATTACCCCGCCGGCTCATTACCCCGCCGGCTCATTACCCCGCCGCCTCATTACCCCGCCGCCTCATTACCCCGCCGCCTCATTACCCCGCCGCCTCATTACCCCGCTGGCTCATTATCCCGCCGCCTCATAGAGGTGATGTTGACGTTCCCATCATTCCCGTCTAAAAAGAAAGTTTCTCTTTATGATGTCATTGCTGCTAATGATGATCTCTTTCCTTTCTCCATTTGCTGCCGACATCGATTGCTTCAGATCGGCGAGGTACGGGGGCAGGGGCTGGTTGGGGCCCGGGGGAGGGTGAGGGGTGCTGGGGATTTAAAGACATGATGGTTGGTTTTTAATAAGATGCAGACTACAAACAATTTTTTTTAAGGGGAGGGGGTGGGGGTGGGTAGCAATCCTCTTGATATATTCATGTATAATCTCTTTGATAGCACTAGCGCTGAGACTGGGACTCCAGGGAGATCTGACTTTCGTCATTGCTCTCTGTGACAGTTCCCTTGTTTCTGGTATATGATGAATCAGATAACGATGTCATGACAGTTCACCTAAGTGCATCTATCGTATATCGCGAATTAACATCATGACAGACAATATTGTTTATGTCTCCTTGGAAATGTTGGTTGCTAACATCAAGAAAGACTGTTTTTTGTAATGTTTTCGTGGAAATTTTGGTTTCTAACATCAAGAAATACACTTTTTTATGTTTACGTGGAAATGTTGGTTTCATTATATATATTCATTGGTTTTATATATATATTTATATATTTATATATATATCTAAATATACCAACTTGTAAAACGAGACTACACGCGTTACCTCTTACCTATGCCTAGACATCGCGCGCATATTATGGTATGAAAGTTTTGGCAATGAACATTTGCTCAGGCTTATTTTGGTCATGAACACTGTTCAAGACATTTAAATAATAAATACTATTCTCGTCTTCGCCATATTATTGCTAGCATAAAAAAAATTGGCCAGATAAAATAGAAAGAAGGGTCGAATAGAAAAAAAATGGCCAGATAAAATAGAAAGAAGGGTCGAATAGAAAAATTGGCCAGATAAAATAGAAAGAAGGGTCGAATAGAAAAAATTGGCCAGATAAAATAGAAAGAAGGGTCGAATAGAAAAAATTGGCCAGATAAAATAGAAAGAAGGGTCGAATAGAAAAAATTGGCCAGATAAAATACAGCGAAGGGTCGAATAGAAAAAATTGGCCAGATAAAATAGAGCGAAGGGTCGAATAGAAAAAATTGGCCAGATAAAATAGAGCGAAGGGCCGAGTAGAAAAGGTTGGCCAGATAAAATAGAGCGAAGGGTCGAGTAGAAAAGGTTGGCCAGATAAAATAGAGCGAAGGGCCGAGTTGAAAAAGTACTTAAGTGTCATTTATATATATTGCTCCTCTCCAACCCACCCCTAATCTTTACCCTAGATCCGCCACAGCAGACCGTTAGCCACTATCCTGCTGTTGTTAATGTCCCCTTGTGTCCATCTGCCAGGGCCCAACACTACCGGGAGCTGGGCAACAGCCAGATGTTGATCAGTGTCAAGGACACCGGGATGGTGCATTGGGAGCCCGGCATCATCACTGAGACAAGCTGTGCAGTGAACATCGGCAAATATCCATTTGATACTCAGATATGTGACATACGGTTCCTGACATGGATGCACACCAACAAGTGAGTAACTTATGGGGTGGGGACGGGTCATGGGGTGGGGCGCGGGGGGGACCCGAGGCCCCCACCGATGCATTGGAGAATAGCGAACGAAATGAGGAGCTATGTGTATGTTCAGTAAGTGGCAACATGCATCCCTATTTCTGAGTTTATAATAATCAACATACAATATTTAGCCATCTGTCTGCATACAATATTATGTCTGTGTTAGTCATGTGTTAATATACATCATTATGTCTGTGTTAGCTATGTGTTAACATAAAATGTGTTACCTTTGTCTCCATAGAAAAAGTGTCCCAGTTAGCTACGTGTAAGCATGCAATGTGTCTGTGTATCTGTGTGTCTGTGTGTTTGTGTTTCTCTGTGTGTCTATGTGTGACGTGGAATGAAAGTGGACAGAGAACATGATAAAAACACTTCGCGAGTGTAACAGAAACTGCGAGAACCCGAGAGAGAGAGAGAGAGAGAGAGAGGGAGGGAGAGAGAGGGAGGGAGAGGGAGGAAGGGAGAGAATGAAGGACTAAAAATAGACAATGTTTTTGGGGGGGCAACAGAAGGGCGTTTCGTGACATTGTCATTTATCTGTTTCAAGGGCGTATGTGTAACTGTCAACTGGGGGTGTGTGTGAGTGGGCAAGCGTTGACCCGGGCTGCTTAGATTAGTTTCCCATTTTTTAAAAAATAAAGAGAGAAATATTGTGAAATATAATTGAGCTGTTCGAGTTGTTTCTGAGTTTGGCTTTGGCCGTGAGAGTATGGACTGTGCACTTTTATCCCGGCACTTTTATGTGGCACCTTTGTTTGGCACTTTTATCTAGGCACTTGTGTCTCAACACTTTTATCCCAGCAATTTTGTTTGGCACTTTTGTCACCGTACTGTTTTCTCGACACTATTGTTTGGCACTTTTGTCACCGTACTGTTTTCTCGGCACTATTGGTTGGCACTTTTGTCACCGTACTGTTTTCTCGGCACTATTGGTTGGCACTTTTGTCACCGTACTGTTTTCTCGGCACTATTGTTTGGTTGGCACTTTTGTCACCGTACTGTTTTCTCGGCACTATTGGTTGGCACTTTTGTCACCGTACTGTTTTCTCGGCACTATTGGTTGGCACTTTTGTCACCGTACTGTTTTCTCGGCACTATTGTTTGGCACTTTTGTCACCGTACTGTTTTCTCGGCACTATTGTTTGGCACTTTTGTCACCGCACTGTTTTCTCGGCACTATTGGTTGGCACTTTTGTCTTGAAATTTAGTTTGGAACTTTCATCTCATCACTTTTGTCTCGCCACTTTTGCCTGGGTACTTTTGTCTCGGTACTTTTATCTCGGTACTATTGCCTTGGTACTTTACCCAAAACACAATTTGTTTCAGAAGAGAAACAAACAAATAACATATGTTAACAAAAAGATCGAAGGAATTCTTCGTGCGCCAACTTACAGAATCTTTGAAAGGGATGTAATTATTCTATAACATGTGTAGGCGTGAACAGTTGTAAACGTGAACAGTTGTAAAAGTGAACAGTTGTAAAAGTGAACAACTGTAAATGTGAACAGTTATAAAAGTGAAAAGTTGTAAATGTGAATAGTTGATGTTTGATGTGTTTGCTTTCATCTTCTGAAACTGACCACTAAATTTGTGTGATTATTTTCACCGTGTCCAACATTTCTGTTTCGGGATTTTCATGCTAGAAACTAGGATTGTTCGAAATGTTCATGATGCCTACCTGTACCATTCGGAAAGTTCATGATGAGTACCTGAACCATTCAGAAAGTTCATTATGCCTACCTGAACCATTCGGAAAGCTCATGATGAGTACTTGAACCATTCGGAAAGTTCATGATGAGGACTTGAACCATTCGGAAAGTTCATGATGAGTACTTGAACCATTCGGAAAGTTCATTATGCCTACCTGAACCATTCGGAAAGTTCATGATGAGTACTTGAACCATTCGGAAAGTTCATTATGCCTACCTGAACCATTCGGAAAGTTCATGATGAGTACTTGAACCATTCGGAAAGTTCATGATAAGTACTTGAACCATTCGGAAAGTTCATAATGAGCACTTGAACCATTCGGAAAGTTCATGATGAGTACTTGAACCATTCGGAAAATTCATGATGAGTACTTGAACCATTCGGAAAGTTTATGATGAGTACTTGAACCATTCGGAAAGTTCATGATGAGTACTTGACTTGAACCATTCGGAAAGTTCATGATGAGTACTTGAACCATTCGGAATGTTCCTGATTAGTACTTTAACTTCTTGGAATGGTCATGACGTCCCATTGAACCACTACTCGAGATGTTCATAATATCCGCAATACTCGAGATTTTCATAATGTCCCCACTACTCGAGATGTTCATAATGTCCCCACTACTCGAGATGTTCATAATGTCCCCACTACTCGAGATTTTCATAATGTCCCCACTACTCGAGATGTTCATAATGTCCCCACTACTCGAGATGTTCATAATGTCCCCACTACTCGAGATGTTCATAATTTCCCCACTACTCGAGATGTTCATAATGTCCCCACTACTCGAGATGTTCATAATGTCCCCACTACTCGAGATGTTTATAATGTCCCCACTACTAGATATGCTCCTGATGTCCCATTGAACACACCATATCTTGCGCCAACTTACCAAACACCTTTAGTGCTGACATGTGGTTTAAAACCAGTGAAACAACGTTGAGCCAACGTGTCTCCCAGGATCCCAATGGACTACACGGAATGAAGATGGAAATAAATGGCTTAAATTACCGTCTGCTGTGAGCTTGGCGAGGTTCTCATGTCTGGGTTATGAGAATGGTTGGGTTTGTCCCGTTGTCCAACGTACAGTTTTTAAATTTGTTCTTGCTTTTCACGGTTTTAATCACCGCATTGCTGCTTGTAGAATTTCTCAGAATAAAATGACAGCCAATATCAATGGTCAGCCAAGACCACTGAACAGCCGAGATCACTAGTCGGCCAACATAACTGGTCAGCCAAGACCACTGGTCAGCCAAGATCACTCTTCAGCCAAGACAACTGGTCATCCATAACCACTGGTCAGCCAAGACCACTAGTTAGCAAAAATCACTGGTCAGCCAAGATCACTGGTCAGCTATGACCACTGGTCAGCCAGAATCACTGGTCAGCCAAGAGGTTGCGTCTTAATTGAAAAGAAAATAGATGTAAAATTGTTTCGGCACTAAGCCTTTGGCAGTTAAGCACAAATAACATGAATTGGAATGTAACACAGTGCAATGCAATGTTACACAATGCTAAGCCTACCTACTGAGTCAAGTATACAATGTTGTTTACAGTTACCTTTAGCTCTTTAAAATCAACACAAATATAAATCTGTCATTCAATGGCTCCATTAGATGTCATACTGCTATTCAGATACTTTGATGGTCAGTTTTGGTCAATTAACCGAAATGGCAACTTATCAATTACTAAATTTATTTATTTTTTTTACTTTGTCTTTTCAATTTTAAGTGACTCCCAACCTCCCCATCCCCCCAACCACTCCCCCCCACCTCCAGCAACCCCAGGGGCCCAAAAAAATTCCGATGTTGGGTAACATTGTACAGCAATCACGTGATAATGACTCCAGTTTAACGGCCCAAACTGTTTCTCCACTAGAACTTTGACCGTTGGCCCAGAGCGAGATCAGATCAACTTGGACGCGTTACTTCCCAATGGAGAGTGGGACATAACACAGACAGAGGCCAATGTGTACAGGTACCCGTCCACGTACAGGTAAGTTCGTAGCTTCTTACATACATTGTAGTGAACAGATGGAGAGATTCATGCACAAAGATGTTCTGGTGAACATCAAACCTAGATTATAGAATTAAATTAATTAGACACCAACAATTTGTGTCAATATAACAATACTAGAATAAATGACCCGATATTATCGGGATAATAATGATAGGTCCTTTGCGTAAATTTCTACGTGCTATTGCAATAAATTATCACAATTCATAACTTTAAACATATAATGCTATTTACATTTCTAATATCATTAAGTTTTGAGAAGTATTTATCCGCTATATAATATAAGCCTACCTTACTCCCTTTCACTCTCCTAAACTACTTTTTCCCCTCTTAACATGACCTTAAAATACCCAGTCTAACGTATCACTACTTATATCACTTTTGTCACGAAAGGAGTTAATTAAGGGACAATTACTACGTCAGAGAAATACTTTAGTTTAACCCCTTTTCGTGAGCTTGGATTACAACTTATTCTTTCTGTATCAATTTTTTTCTGTATTAAATTTTTTTTGTATCAAATTGTTTCCTTTTTTTAAAAAATGGTTCTGTATCAAATTTTTTCTGTATCAAATTGTTTCTGTTTCAAATTGTTTCCGTATCAAATTGTTTCTGTAGCAAATTGTTCCTGTATCAAAATGTTTTCGTATTTAATTTTTCATATCAATATGTTTCTGTATCAAATTGTGTCTGTATCAAATTTGTTTCTGTATCAAATTTGTTTCTGTATCAAATTGTTTCTGTATCAAATTGTTTCCGTATCAAATTGTTTCTATATCAAATTGTTCCTGTATCAATTTTTTTTCGTATCAAATTTGTCCATATCAAATTGTTTCTGGATCAATTTTTTGTTTGCTGTATCAAATTGTTTCTGTATCAAACTGTTTCCGTATCAAACTGTTTCCCCTGGCACATTCTCCCCAGAAACAACACTGACCACACTGGTGTGACGTTCCGTGTCCATCTCCGCCGGAAGCGTTTCTTCTACGTCCTAAACACCATCATCCCGGTGGTCATGCTGTCCTGCCTCAACGTGCTGGTCTTCATCCTGCCCTCGGACTGTGGGGAGAGGATGGCCCTGGCCGTCACGGTGCTGCTCGCCTTCACGGTCTACCTGGGCATCATCAGCGACAACATCCCCAAGACATCCGAGAGCTTGTCCTTGTTAGGTAAGCAATGATGGCATTGTGAAGCAATGAATGATGTCATTGTTAGGCAAGTAATGATGTCATTGTTAGGTAAGTAATGATGTCATTGTTAGGTAAGTAATGATGTCATTGTTAGGTAAGTAATGATGTCATTGTTAGGTAAGTAATGATGTCATTGTTAGGTAAGTGATTATTTCATTGTTAGGTAAGTAATGATGTCATTGTTAGGTAAGTAATGATGTCATTGTTAGTTTAGTAATGATGTCATTTTTAGGAAAGTAATGATGTCATTGTTAGGTAAGGAATGATGGCATTGTTAGGTAAGGAATGATGTCATTGTTAGGTAAGTAATGATGTCATTGTTAGGTAAGTAATGAGATCATTGTTGGGTAAGTAATGATGTCATTTTGTTAGGTAAGTAATGATGTCATTGTTAGGTAAGTGATTATTTCACTGTTAGGTAAGTAATGTTGTTCTAGTCAGTTAGGTAATAATTGTTTGATTAAATACTTATATAGCGCGTGTATCCATGCTGTTTTAGGTAAGTAATGATGTTTCTAACGATCATAAAAAATTGTCATATTTCCTAACAAAATTTTCCAGCTTTAAAACTAGAATTTAGTTCCATTAAATCTGATGAGCTGGGATTGGTCGAAAAGAGTAATGTTACTATTTTTAGAGAAAAAAAACAACAACAATGAATCAAATTAAATCATTTTGTCTAAGGAGTTTGTGTCATCGGATGTGATAACATAGCAGCTGTTACTTCTTTGTTACTCCTTATGTTGGATGTGATAACATAGCAGCTGTTACTTCTTTGTTACTCCTTATGTTGGATGTGATAACATAGCAGCTGTTACTTCTTTGTTACTCCTTATGTTGGATGTGATAACATAGCAGCTGTTACTTCTTTGTTACTCCTTATGTTACTTCATGTGTTGCAGCCATTTACCTGACCAGTCTCCTGGCCCTCAGTACAGCATCGGTCGTCTGCGCGGGTATTGTGTTAAATATTCACTACCGTGACCCTTCGCATCCTGTACCAAAGGTTCTCAAATGGATGTTTTCATCAGCAGCGGTCAGAACCACTGACGAGCCCTTAAAGCCTTCCACCTACAGCGCAGACACACAGAGGTAGCCACAGCGAGGATTTTATTTTAAATATAGTTTTTTTTTTGTTTTATTTTTTGCTTTCTAGATCATTTTTATCTTTTTAATTTTGTACAAATGTTACTTGAATATTGACCCCCACTTACCAATGGCAAATGATTTGATGTGTGTCTCCTCCTAAATCAGGGTTTCCTACCCATGGCTCATAGTGGCCCATTGTGACCCATCGTGGTCTATCATGGCCCATATTTGCTTATCTTGACCCTCTTTGGCCCATCGTGGCCCATTATGGCCCATCGTGGCCACTCGCGGCCCCCTTGTGACATCGTGGACCATTATGACCCATCGTGGCCTGTCCACCGCATGCGACCCAGGACCGCTGTGTAGACAAACCTTATGAGATTGTTACTAGATGTATTGATGAACAATAAAAGATCACTCAAGAAAAGGGTTCACTAGTGCAATTAAAGACACAACTAAATCAAGATTTGTATAGGAAGCAGTGAAAAATAAGTTACGGCCTTTCCATCTTTCCAACTAAAGGTGTAAACATATCTGGTACACCAACTGGTGTGAACATATCCGGTACAACTACTGATGTGAACATATCTAGTACAGCTACTGATATGAATATATCTGAAACAGCTACTGATGTGAACATATCTGGTACAGCTACTTATGTGGACATATCTGATACAGCTACTAATGTATACATATCTGGTACAGCTACTTATGTGGACATATCTGATACAGCTACTAATGTATACATATCTGGTACAGCTACTTATGTGGACATATCTGGTACAGCTTCTTATGTGGACGTATCTGTTACAGCTACTTATGTGGACATATCTGGTAGAGCTACTTATGTGGACATATCTGGTACAGCTACTTATGTGGACATATCTGGTACAACTACTGATGCGATGTGAACACATCTGGTACAGCTACTGATTGTGAGCATATCTGGTACAGCTACTGATGCGATGTGAACACATCTGGTACAGCTACTGATGGTATCCCGTTGATGGCCGGTTAAATAATGAACTTGTCTTGTCAAATTAATTGAAGACGTTAGAAAGGTCTCCCAGCGTTGTGGCGAAATACTAACTCATTGGCTGCTGGGTGGCCGAGTGGTCTAAACGGTCTCAAAACAAATAGCAGGTGGTCTGGAGTTCAATCCCCACCAAAGCCAACATCCTAAGCACCCCGGGTGGATGGGACGCGTTAGCCTTGGACGGCAACCCATCTAAGAGAGGGCAAACTCTGAATTTAAACCCGGAGCCAGAATGATCAACAAATTGATCGTGGGCACCTCAAAGATAAGAAGATAAGAAGAACTGATCGAAACAGTGTTTCCAACTCTATCAGCATTCTAATTTCAACTCAAACCATTGGAATCTCAATATTCTGGAAAACTCGTTAACCTTGGATGGCAACTCATCTAAGAGAAGGCAACTCATCTAAGAGAAGGCAACTCATCTAAGAGAAGGCAACTCATCTAAACCCGGAGATGGAGTCCCGAAAGGCGGATAACATTGATACCTTGAAACATTCCGACAACCTCTGCGACGTCACTGGTGCCAAGCTGTATCATCCAATGATGTTCCCTTGGGTTATCCAGCGGCGTGGAGAGAGGTGATTTGCTGTTGGGAACCACCTTATAATCCTCGAAGAATAATCCCAGGCCTTGTGGATTTCGACTTCCGAAGCCCACACTATCACGGACGGATTCCAGCAAATAAGGAAAACAAGTGTTTGAACACATTGCTGGACATGCGCATGTGAACATCTTTCTCAGTAAAATCTACATATCTGACATATTATTTGGCATATTATCTGACATATTATCTGAAGTATTATCTGACATATTAACTGCCATATTATCTGACATATTATCTGACATATTATCTGACATATTATCTGACATATTATCTGACATATTATCTGACATATTATCTGACATATTATCTGACATATTATATGACATATTATCTGACATATTATCTGGCATATTATCTGACATATTATCTGACATATTATCTGGCATATTATCTGACATATTATCTGGCATGTTATCTGTGATATTATCTGACATATTATCTGGCATATTATCTGACATATTATCTGGCATATTATCTGGCATATTATCTGGCATATTATCTGGCATATTATCTGTCATATTATCTGGCATCTTATACGGCATATTATCTGGCATATTATCTGGAAATTTTCAAATGGATTCAACCACAACATTACATCGCGTAGGTCATTAGAATATACATATAGTTCAGGGGCGTGAAACACTCATTGGGATTCTTATAAAGTCAGCTTGTTTTGTTGTTTTTCCCATTTTCAGTCCCACACCTATTGCTAAATATAACATTTTAGGAAGGGTTTATGCAAAAATAAATTGTTTCAATAGCTTGTTTAGTTTTTATTTTAATATTTAGTATTCTAATGCCCCACGCACTGTCACCACGCACTGTCACCAGGCAGATTTATAACATCAACTGTTCCAGAAAAAAAAAAAACAAAGAAAATGTTAAGCATGAAATTCACTTTCGATTTTTTGAGTTTAAGAGCCTCATTTTGTGCAGTTATCGGGAATTTTATTTCAAGAATCAATGTCATCACATTTCATTCAATTTCCCCTTGAAAAACACTTAGAATGTGTTGTCATCGGCAACGAGTCTATGTGCTAAGTATCAGCTCGATAGGCTGACGGTAAGTGGGTCTATTAGCCATCCGGATATGTTGTCACACACGCAGCCAGAAAGAATCACACGAACAAAAGTGAAGTTAAAATAAATGATTTTTTTTTTTTTGATTTTTTAGAAACGCAAGTATTAATGAAGTTTAAATTGATTAAATATTTATATACTTATATTCTATTTCTATTATTATCACCAACTATTGTACGTGTACGAATATTTTATTTGTGGGACAAAACAAATCCTCTCATCGCCACCCTGTGGCCCATGAAGCTAAAAGGTTGGAAACCCCTGGCCTAAATCACCACTAACCTAAGGGAGTTAACTTTTAATTTTTTCAGTAAATATGTTAATTGACAGCCATTGTTGAGTTACATCCCTTGTTTATATTTCCATTGACTGCGGGCACTGAGACGAGTAGCCAGGAACTGAAACCAGTAACAAGGAACTGAGACCAGTCTCCAGGCACTGAGACCAGCTTCCAGGCACTGAGACCAGTAGCCAGGAACTGAGACCAGTAGCCAGACACTTAGACCAGTAACCAGGCACAGAGATCAGAAGCAGATCATTTAGCCCTGATTTTTGTCCTACCGTTCCAAGTACGACCAACAAGATTTCCTACCTCCAACAAGATGTCCTACCACCAACAAGGTGTCCTACCATCAACAAGATGTCCTACCACCAACAAGATGTCCTACCACCAACAAGATGTCCTAGCACCAACAAGATGTCCTACCACCAAAAAGATGTCCTACCACCAACAAGATGTCCTACCACCAACAAGATGTCCTACCACCAACAAGATGTCCTACCACCAACAAGATGTCGTACAACCAACAAGATGTCCTACCACCAACAAGATGTCCTACCACCAACAAGATGTCCTACCACCAACAAGATGTCCTACCACCAACAAGATGTCCTACCACGAACAAGATGTCCTACCACCAACAAGATGTCCTACCACCAACAAGATGTCCTACCACCAACAAGATGTCCTACCACAAACAAGATGTCCTACCACCAACAAGATGTCCTACGACCGACAAGGTCTACTTTAGTTTCACACTATGACCGCTACTCTTCTTCAAACACCAATGTTTTACACATATGCATACACAATAATCTTACGGCACAATTCATTTTTTTTCCATATAAGGCACATCTTTTTCTTTTTTTTTCTATTCAAGGCACACTTCTTGTTTTTA